CCCCAAAACCCCAAAACCCCAAAACCCCAATAATTTTAGTAAATATTGAAATAAATAAAGGCTTGCACAATTTAAATACAAACTATTGGATTCAAAAAATTCCCCAAAAAAGTTACCCCAAAACCCCACAAAAAATCCTCAAAAACCCCATGGAAAACCTTCAAAAGACCCGTTCAAACACCACAAACCACTTCCTGCCCCAAGAACTCCAAAAAATCAACGAAGAACCTTACTCCTCCCTCTCTAAACTCCAATCCTCTACCCGATGCACCCAAAAATCCCTCTGCCGCTACAACCCAGCCAACCTGCCCCCTCTCCCACCCCTTCTCACCTCCAAAACCCTCACTCTCCACACTCCAAAATAACCTATCCCCCTCTCTCACACACAAAATCCTCCAAAACCTCTACCCTCACCTGCCTCCCCACCCTCCTCTGACCCAATCCCAAAAAACCTCGTTCACAATATCACAGCTCAGAACCACAAAATTCAGAAAGAAGTGGACCACGAACAAAGTTGTATTAGGAATAAGATACTTATCAATTGTGGGACTTCGGAGTTTCCGGAGAAGGATGATAAGGGTTCTATTCTGCCGGAAGAGATCTTTGGGCAGTTCAAAGTTATACATGATTTTGAACCGTCCAATGTTGGGTTCTTGGAGAAGGTTAGGTTGGATTTTCTTGGGAAGAGAAAGAAGGTAATAAGTTTCATCGGAAAGAAGATGAAGGGTCTATTTGAGAAGAGGAGACTTCATGAAGAGAAATATGAAGCAGAATACGGTCAATGGATGAACAAATGCTACAAGAAAACCAAGGTTGTCAACAAAGCAAGAAGGATCTCAGGCAAGACCAAGGATATCAATGGCAAGAACAAGGATTTACAAATCAAAGGTATCGATGAGATGAGGCAAGAAGCTTGTGTAATCCCAATAGCCAATTACAATGAGTACGCAGAAGATTTTATCTATATTGAAAGACAGACTCATAGAATCCAAGACCCTTATAGTTACGAAGACACTCCGAAAAGGTAAGTAATAGTCCTCTGATCTTATAGCAATGATTCATGGTCGAAAAAGGATATTGCCCTGTTTATTGAATCATTTATGAAGTATCATAAGAACTTCGGATCTATCTCAGAGCTATTTTACAACAAAAGAACTAGAGATATTGTAGAGTTCTATATGAACTTCAAGAGCCTCTTATCGCTAAATGAGTAAGTAAAATTTTATAATCTTTATAGGGAATATCAAAAAATTGAAAATATCCTGTCAAACAACTCATCATGCCCTGCGAAGGTAATCAGACCTCCCTTAGTCAGGAAAATTGTCAAAAAGGTAAGCTTATGATTGCTAAATACAATAGTTTATGGAACAAATTGATATCTCGATTGAAAGAAAGCCAGAATATGACTTATATCGGCAATGTAAAGTGCCTATCGACAAGTTCACAACCAAACAACTCATTGAAATCTTCGCTGAGCATAGTAAACCTCGCCAGAACGCTCGGATTCAAGATGAAGGAGGGATAGATTATTGGATAGAACCTCGGACTAGCCCAATCTTTGATCCATCAATAAACGAAACCATTCCTTACTTCCGCCAAATCGAACAAAACGCTACCAGAATAAAATCCACAATCCTCAAAAACTCCAAAAAGATCAAAAAGTACTTAAAATCCCTAAAATCCCTTAACAAACAAACATTCAAAGATATAAAAGAAAAAGAAAAACTCTTCACCAAGAACAAGTACCCACAAAGACTTATTGCCAAAAAATCACAATCCAAGGTACTTAAGAAAGGAGATATTAATGTAGAGGACCTGAATCCTGATGTGAGGTATATACATAGTTATTATGTGGTGGAGAAGGATAACCCGAATTTTGTGGCAGAGGGGTTACAAGATAATGAGGAAATAGAGGAGGAAGAGGAGCAAGATTTGGTGAAAGAGAGTGAGCAAGAGAAATCAACTTCCTCGGATAAGGAATCGGAACAAGAGGCTCCCCAAGATGAAGAGAATTCAGGGAAGAAGTCGTGTAAAGATAAGAGGAAGAGCAAAAGAAAGCAAGGGCAGATTTGGTCTCTTGAAGATAAAGAGAAGATGAAAAAGGAGCTAAATAAGCATGGAAAAGACTTTGATAAAATAGCAGAGGCTTTCTCTGACAAAACACCATTGCAGATCAAGAATTTCTTCACAAATTATTTCAAGAAACTCAAACTTTGGATGCACCTCCCAGGATATGTTAGAAGAGGAGGTAGAAAGCCAAAAAGTGGAATCAAAAGAATAAAATCATCCTCATCTGACAAAGATCTTAGTTCAAACATCTCATCATCAAAAAGCATCATAGAATCCAAATCCTCCAATGAAGAAGCTGACGATAAAATCAAGAGACAAAGGACCGAATAAACTATATAATTTCCATTTCAATCACTAAATCCCACCAAGGGGTTTTGGGGTTTTGGGGTTTTGGGG